CCCCTTGGAGTGACACGTGGAAGTCTCCAGCCATTGTCCTAAACCTGTAATCACCAAGGTCCCAGGGAAATCAGAGCCTCATATGAAACTGCTGCAGATGTAAGAAGTCATTTCATGGAAACCAAATCACTCAAGTCACAGCTGGGCATGGTGGCGCACGCCTGTAATCCTAGCACTTGGGAGGCTGAGGAAGGAGGGTGCTGTGAGTTCAAGACCTACATAGTGGGCTACACAGTGAGTTCAGGTCAGTCTCAAAAAACGAATAAACAAATCACTCAAGTCAGGAAAATTTCTCTGGTGGCACAAAACCAGGACTATGATAACATCAGTTGGATACCCAGCCCACTGCAGTACCTCATAAAACTAATTTCTATTCTTTTGTGATAGTCTGATCCTCTTCATCAGAGTGTGACCCTCCCCAGCTACTCGTTTGAGTCCTTTCCTTATTTTCTCTCACTGTACTTTCCAATCAAAGCTTTTGCTTGTAAATTCATTTTGTCCCTTTAGTTTTTTGGGGTTTTTTTTTTTTTTTGATACCAGGGATTGAACTCAGGTCCTTGTGCTTGTAAAGCAGGTGCTGGAACCACTGAGCTAAATCCCCAGTCCCGTCCCTTTAGTTTTAATGTCCATTGTCACAGAGCAAGGACTCAGGCTAGCTAGTGACAGTGTGAGGATAATTTTGTGATACCTGTGCATAGACACTTCAGAATTCTGCCTGTCCTACAATTATTCTTGCAGACCTCCATTCTAATAATAAAATTCTAGGGAAAATGAGTGGCTCATGGGAAAAAAAGCACCCAAAGAAATAAGGCATCACAAACAACAAGTGGGAGAAGCAAGAGAATTGAGATAATGAAATTATCTCAGGCTGGGTGTGGCAGCACCTGTAATCCCAGCACTCAGGGGGCTGAGGCAGGAGGATGGCCACAAATTCAAGGCCCGTCTGAACTAAATAGCAAGATCCTGTCTCAAAAACAAAACAAACAAACAACAACAACAAAACCTTGAAATGATTACAGACTTCAATATGTTTAAAGAGGTAAAAGGACAAGCTTAAAAACAGCAGCAGGGCAAAATACACACAGGAGACCTGAACTATAAAGAATGACTAAGCAGACTTGAAGAACAAAATAGAAATCCTATAAATGAAAAGTGTAACAGAGTATACAAAAGCCTTAACACAACAGCGTCTGCTGTTGACTAAGGGTGTAGCTCAGGGGTAGAGGACTTGCCTAGAATGAGTCCAGAAAGGTCCACTCCCCAGCCCTGCAAACAAAACAAGACAGGTGTGAGTAAAATGAGCATAGAGGAAGAAAGATGCTGCTGCTATAACAAAATGCCACAGGCTGGATAACTTAGAAACAACAGAAATTGATTTATTTCTTACAATTCTGGAAGTTCAAGATCACAGTACCAGCATATTTAGTGTCTGGTGACGGCTGCTCCTAAAATGGCATTTTTGGTCGGTCACCTCTACACTGATTCATATGTTGCTCATAGTAAATCTTAAGAGATGAAGGGCTGGGGATTTAGCTCAGTGGTTCCACCACCTGCCTCGCAAGCACAGGGACCTGAGTTCTATCCCTGGTACAAAATGAATAAATAAATATTCTTAAGAGATGATCCTGGGGCTGGGGATGTAGCTCAGTAGTGTTATGCCTTGCTGGCAAGCACAAAGTCCTGAGTTTTATTCCCAATGAGAGAGAGAGAGAGAGAGAGAAGTGACCATCTAGGAGCTGAAAATATTTTAAAGAATAGAACAGCTAGGCATAGTGGTGCACACCTGTAATCCCAGAACTGTGTGTGACTGAGGCAGGAGGAGCCCTGTCCCAATATAAAAATAATGAGCGTATTGGGCATGGTGATGCATACCTGTAATCTCAGACTTATGGCTGGAGTGATTCTCACTGAGAAACCAGTTTCCTCCATCAACACCGTTGGCAGAATCTAACAGGAAATCTCTCCCAAGGCAGAAAGAGAGTTTTTAGTCTCAGTTGCAGGATCAAAAGCAGTTTATAAAAGAAAGAAGGATGAATAGAGCTGAAAGACAATATTATCCCTCTTTGTGTGTGTGTGTGTCTGTCTGTGCGTGTGTTACTGGGGATCAAACTTGGGACCTGGCGCTTGTGAGGCAGGTGGCAGCACCACTGAGCTAAATCCCCGGCTGAAAGACGAAATTTAATAACTGGTATAGAAAATATATCTAGATTCCAGTTCTTATGGGAATTTCCTGTAGTGAGATTTAAAAGTTCACAGAAGATTTGTTTCCACAAAGCATCAGAGAACTAACAAGGCAATGAATAATTATGGGGCCAATATCTAAGAGAAAGCTAGTAAAAGAGTAAGCTTGGCATGTGTGCTGTTTTTTCCTAGGGTCATCTGCCAATTCTGGGTGAGTGCCTGTGAGGCTAAGAATCTGATCTCGAAGCTCGGGATTTAGTTCAGTGGCACCATGCCTGCCTTGCAAGCGCAAGGTCACAACAACAAAAAAAAAAAAAAAGAGAGAGAGAGAAAAAGAAAAATAATCTGATTCCTGTATGCCATCATGCCTAGCTCAAATTTGAAATTTTTAATTGAAAAAATTAATTCCAGCACTCAGGAGGCTGAGGCAGGAGGATTACTGTGAGTTCAAGGTCAGCCTGGGGTACATAGTTCAAGGCCAGCCTAAATTGCATAGCAGGAAAAAAAAATTTTTTTTTGAAAATTTCAAAACACTAACAGTTATGATGTCATTGAAATAACTGGGCATAGATTTTACAAAAGAATCTTTAAACTTTTACTCTGGAAATTAATATTACTGAAATAAATTAAGGGAAAACACCCCAATAAATGAAAAGCATTAGTATTTACTGACTGGAATACTCAGTATTGGTAGGCAGCAATATTCCCCAAACTGATTTACACATCTATCATAATCCCTATCAGAACTGTCCCTGGCTTCTTTGTGGAAATTGACTAGTTGATTCTAAAAATTTACACGGAAACTCAGAAGCCCCAGAATAGATAAAACAGTGTTGGAAAAAAAACAAAAAATAAAACAAACAAAAGGCAAACTAAAAACGTGGTTGGAGGACTCATGCTTCCTACTTTTAAATTTAAAACAAGGGGCTGCGATTTAGTTCAGTGGTGCTGTACTTCCTTTGCAAGTACAAGGTCTTGAGTTCAATCCCTGGTGTGTGTGTGGGGGGGGATTTAAAGCAACAGCGGAGTGTGGTGGTACATAGGTGAAATCCTAGCACTTTGAAAGGCTGATGTAGGAGAATCTTAAATTTGAGCTCAGTCTGGGCAATTTAGTGATTCAGCAAGACCCTCTCTTGAAAAAACAAAACAACAAAGGCTGGGGATGTAGCTCAGTGTGAAGGCCCTGTACACTTCAATAACCTGTATTGAGGGAAAGAAAAAGTACAACAGTAATCAAGAGCGTACAGTGTACTACTGGCATAAAGATGTACACCTCCATTTCAACAGAATAGACTTCAGAGTCTAGGAACAACCCAGAGGTCTATGACCTATTGATTTTCAACAAGGCTGCCAAGGCTGTTCAATGGGAGAAAGAATAATTTTTTCAACAGATGAGATTGGAGCCAGGCACGGTGGCGCATGCCTGCAATCCCAGCAGTCGGGAGGCTGAGGCAGGAGGATCACTGTGAGTTTGAGACCAGCCTGGGCTACATAGTGAGTTCCAGGTCAGTGTCAACTACATAGTGAGACCCTGCCTCACTGAAAAACCCACAAAAAATGGGGATTTAGCTCAGTGGTTCCACTGCCTGCCTTACAAGCGCAAAGACCCGAGTTCGATCCCTGGTACAAAAACCAAAACAAATGAGATTGGGACATGTTGATAGACACACAAAAAATAATGAAGTTGAGCTCTTACTTTATAATATGTACAAAAATGTACTCAAATGGGTCAAAGCCAGTCAAGGGCGCAAACAGCTATTGTTCTAGTCACTGGTAGGGTTAGGCAGGAAGATTACTTAAACCCAGGATTTGATAGTAAGATAGCACTTCTATGCAGACAGACATCAAACGCAGCTAGTGTCTAGCTAGCTTCATTGCTGAAGGATCTGCCTAATATACGAGAACCCCCGAGTTTGATCCCTAGCATGGTAAAAGGAAATGAAACGAAATGAAAAACTCTCAGGAAAGTCTTGGATGTAACAAAAAAACAGATATAAATTTCTCAGAAAACAAGGGAGTAAGCGTGTATGACACTGGATTTGCATTCCCTCTCTTTTGTTTGTTTGTGGGGACAGCAGTGGGAGGGATCAGATAACAACAGAAGACTCTGACAGGCTCCGGTGCTCTGTCCCTCATTAGAGATCCACCGCGTGCAGAGGGCGGTAGATGTTGGAAGCACGAGGTGGGGAAGCCAGGACGGGCTGATATTCAATGTGTGTTCATTTATTTTACACTTACAAAAGAAATAGCCCTCCCCTTTGCCCCATTTCCCAAAAAACGTCTCTTTTTACAAACATTTAAAAATTAAACCAAATGAAGATAGACAAGTTAATTTCAGTACAATTATTTTTCAGTGTAGCTGTTATAATTAGGGTTTAAATTTCCTACAAGTGACCAATGTCCAAGTGACTTATAGGGAAATCCTGATTATTGGCCGAAAGAAAAATTCCATATACAAGTTAGCAAATTGTAGTACAAAAATAGTCCATGTGTCGGAACAGCTTTCCGTTTACATAGGTCTCAGGTCAGTCTGCGGGCTGCATAACACCTAACGTTTCCGGATCTTCACTCACAAATGGCTCATTCGTCACAGCTGAAGCAGCAAGGTGCCTGCCCAGGCAGGGACTGATGCCCACCGTGGGGCCGTGCTGGAGGTGGCAGGCCCTCAGACCCGGCTCCACACACGGGACTTTGAGGGAGGGACGAGCTGGTCCCTTCCGAGGCAACATCAGGCCCCGGACTCGGGCACATCTGCCCACAGAGCTAGGCTGGTGCTGGTGTAGGACAGCCCGTCTCCTGCCAGTGTTTTCTCCTCCTTCTGCAGCCGGCCAGGTAACAGGTGGCTCCGGGCATCATGAATGGTGGGAGTGCGGCCCTGCTCTTGCTGCAGCACAGGCGAGCCAGAGAAGGCTACTTGTCTCTCAGGATGTCGAGCTGCTCCTGATACTCGGTGAAGAGACGCTGGAAACGGAGGTTCTGCCCGATGACTGGCAGCAGCTCCTTCAGCAACTCCCTCTTCCGCAGACCCTGTGGACACAGTGACAGCTGAGTGAAATGTCTGGGAGAAGACTTAGGGCACAGGGACGTTCCCGGTCTGGGAGAGAAGCCCCAGAGGAAAAGCGCAGGAGACCCTGAAGGCTGAGGATCCGGAGAACGGACATGTGGGGCAGGCTGCTCTTCCTGCTGGCGCTCTTCTCAGCATGAGGTCAAGACTGGGGTGGGCAGCAGCTGGTTTTGGTAGCTCTCTGCTTTGGCTCTTGCCCACGTCTCCCCTCGGTCACGCACACTGCTACCACAACCTGTGACAGGTGGGTTCTGTAGCACAGTCCAAAGAGCAGACCCTGACAAGGACCGCTGCCGCAGAGGGAAGATAATAGGCCAGAAAAAATTTATCACTGGAGCAGGCCCAGAGTCTTAAAAGCGTGACAGATAAACCTATATCAAGATTAGAAATGGTGTGAAAGAACTAAGTGCACATGTTAGGTTTAGCAATCCAAGGGCGGAAGAAATTAAGCAGGAGAATGGGCACTAGTAAAGGCCAAGGCAGAGCGGGTGAGTCAAGTGAGATGCAGGACTAGTCCCAGCCCTAACAGGGAGGCAGCAGGAAGGAAAAGCTGCACGGGAGAAGTAATGACAAACAGGATGGGAAGAGGGGCCAACATTCATGTAAAACAGAGGAGAGAGAAGGAAATACATGAGGAAATAACAGGAGTATACTCCATGTACTTAAAATGAACAGCTTATACTGAAAGGCTCCACAGTGTGCTGTCAGGTAAGATATGGAAAAACTCACATCTAGACATATCAGATTGAAACATACATAGTTTGAAGGTACCAAAAACAGAAAAATTAGAAAATTTTTAAAGAACAAGAACATGTCACTTACAAAGGAAAATTATCAAGATTTACAAAAAGCCGGGCGTGGTGGTGCACGCCTGTAATCCCAGCACTCCGGAGGCTGAGGCAGGAGGATCGCTGCGAGTTCGAGACTGGCCTGGGCTACCTAGTGAGTTCAGGGGAGTCTCAACTACATAGTGAGAGCCTGTGTCAAAAAACAAAATAAAACAAAACAAAAAACAAAAAAGATTTACAATAAAGCTGGGCATAAAGGCACATGCCGGTAATCCCAGCAGTCAAAGAGGCTGAGGCAAGAGGACTGCAGCAAGTTTGAGGTCAGCCTAAGCTAGATAGTGAGTTCAAGGCTGGCCTGAACTGCAAAGTGAGACTCTGTCTCAAAAAACAAAACAAAACAAAACAAAAACAAACAAACAAACAAAAACCAGCCAAACTGCTATTTACACATAATGGTGTCACAAAAATATTCTTAGGGATGCAGGTTTTGTTCCTTTTTTCTTTTCTTTTGGGGCGGGGTGTGCTGGGGATCAAACTCAGGACCTGAGCTTGTGAAGCACATGTGTGCCCCTGAGCTAACTCCCTAGCCCCTTTTCTTTTTTTTTTGAGACAAGGTCTCGCTCTGTAGCTCAGGCTGGCCTTAAACTCACAGTGACTCTCCAGCCTCAGTCCCCCAAGTGCTGGGATGACAGGTGTCTGCCACCATGCCTGGGAGGGCTGAAGGTTTTACTTAGTGGCAGAGCACATGCTTGGCAGCCACAAAACCCCGGGTTTGATTCCCAGCACCATTAAAAAAGATAAATTCATACGGCCAGGGATTTAGCTCAGCGGTTCTGCTGCCTGACTCGCAAGTGCAAGGACCTGAGTTCGGTCCCTGGCACCAAAAAAAAAAAAAAAAAGATAAATTCCTAGAAAAATATAATTTATTGAAGTTGATCCAGAAAGGAGTTAATTCTTATTGCACAGAAAACATTAGATATACCAAATTTTTGGTACTGAAATTGAACTCAAGGTCTTTACAGTGAACTATATCCCTACTCTCTTTTATTTTATTTTTTAAAGTTTTGAGACAGTGTCTCACCAAGTAACTAAGTTGCTCAGCCTGGCTCAAACTTGTGATCCTTCTACCTCAGGCTCCCAGGGTACTGGATTACCAGAATGTGCCATCATGCCTAGCTTATTTTTTATTTTTGAGATAGGATCTTGTTAAATTGCGCAGGCTCAAACTTGTGATCCTCCTGCCTCAGTCTCCTTACGCATTGGGATTGTAAGTATCACTGCACCTGCCTAGACATGCCAGATTTTTTTCTTTTTGGTACTTTGTGGGGATCAAACTTGGGCCCTTGCACCACACGGCAGAACCACTGAGCTAAATCCCTGGCCTGACTCACCAGATTTTTAAAGTAACTTCTAAGAGATTTCCAAGTATCAGATTGTTCCAATCTTATACAAATTCAGAGAATAAAAAACTGAAGAATTCATTCTACAGTACAAATATAAGCCTGAATTAAAAACCATTAACATGGGGATCAAACTCGGGCCCTTGCACCACACGGCAGAACCACTGAGCTAAATCCCTGGCCTGACTCACCAGATTTTTAAAGTAACTTCTAAGAGATTTCCAAGTATCAGATTGTTCCAATCTTATACAAATTCAGAGAATAAAAAACTGAAGAATTCATTCTACAGTACAAATATAAGCCTGAATTAAAAACCATTAACAATTTCAGGAGATGGAAGAATGCAGGTCTATTTTACCCATGAAACCAGAAATAGAAATCCTATATAAACTATTATCAATTTATTCCAATAGTGAATAAAGAAACTATGTCCACTTTCGTTTATCCAGGAAAGCAAGGAGAGTTTAATACCAGAAAACTTATTAATATCATTTACTATATGTGGTGTTTATCAAGAGCAATACGATAGGGAAAAAAGGCATGGGATTGGAAAATAGAAAATTAAATGGTGGGCCAAGATTTAGCTTAGTGGTTTTGCTGCCTGCCTTGCAAGTGCAAGGTCCCGAGTTTGATCCTTGGTACAAACAAACAAACAAAACACAAAAAACAAGAAAATTAAATGGTTATTTAAGGTGAGTGTCTATTACGTAGAGAAAACACAAAACTATTAAAAGTGAATAAAAATAATAGAAATGTGGAGAGAGCTGGCTGGTGACAAATACGTCAATGAAAAATGTGCTTAAACATAGGAGAGGTGAATAAGTAAAAACATCAAACAATATGTATTTTTCTAAATATATATATATATATATATGTCTAAATATATATAATATGTCTAAAATAAATCTGATAAAGGCATATCCTGGTTCTGAAAATTATAAAACTTTCTTTCTTTTTTTCCATTAAGTTTATTGGTACATTTAAGGTAAACAATACAGTCCCATCCATCACTGGGATCTTGCACCTTTACATGACGTATCTTGGTTCTTATTTTCCCCATTTCCCCTGCTCTGCCTTCACCCCCTTCACCCTTCCCATTTATGAAACCTTTGTTTCCATATGGGATTTTATTTAAAGACGTTACACAAAAGCCCAACTTGCTAACTCAGTGCATGGCCACGCTGGTCTTGACCTAAACTGTTCCTCCCCCTCCCAAGGTCTCATGTGTTCAGGTGTGAGCCTGACCGGAAGCGGTGGTCACTAAGCGCACGACTTGAGTGTGTTTTCGTCCCTGCTCCTCCTCTCTCTGCTTTCTGGATGAGCCGCTGTCCTCTACCAGGCCCTTCTACCACGCCACGTCTACCTTGGAGTTGGCCAAACACGGACTGAACCTACTCCAGGATGAGCCGAAATCAATTTCTCCTCCTTTAGTGTGGGTGTCAGGTATTGTGTGCGGGTGATGAGAAAGTGATTAATACAGAAAATGGTATCAGGGATGGCAGTCATTGTGGTAACTATACCTGACCATGGAGTTCAAGAGCTTTGGAAATGGATTGCAGGAACAGTCTGGAGAAGTCTGGAGAGGAGGCTATACAGAAATCCTAGAATATTGCGAGCACGTTTGATGTCACACCTCAGACCAGAATGCTGATAGGAACGCAGACAGTAAAAGGCTAGGGCTCAGGAGGTTTCAGGTGGGAATGAGGATTCTCCCGGCAACTGGACTAGAGCCCATGTGTTATGCCTGGGCATAAAATGTGTCCATGTCCTGAGACTTTACAGAAGGCTAAGATTAAGGGAGGTGGACTAACGAATCTGGCAGAGGAAATTTCAAGGCAGCCTAACATTCAGGCTGTGGTACGGGTACTACTGTTGCTTTCAGCAAGATTTACAGTGAGAATTGGGAGCGAAAAACAGTTAAATGATGTATATCTTGGACAGAAAGGAAGAGCGCATAGAGACGGGGCAAAGCAGTACAGTCGCTGAAAAGATTAGCATTAAAAATAAGCCAAATACTTTGCATGAAGAGAATAGGGCAGATGCCTTGAAGGCATCACAGAAACTGGCCAGATCCTTACCCATTGAAAGCTCAATACTTTTACTCCTTTTTTTTTTTTTTTTTAAAAAAAAAGACAGTGTCTCACTATGTAGTTCAGGCTGGCCTCAAACTTGCTATGTATCCCAGGCTGGCCTTGAACTCACGGCGATCCTCCTGCCTCAGCCTCCCAAGTGCTAGGAGTATAGGTGTGCACCACCACGTGAAAGCTCAATACTTTTAAAGATTGCTTTCAAAAGAAGAAAGGCTGAGGGCACCCTGCTTACTCAGAGCCACATAGGCCAAGAGAAGTTCTTCCCTGCGTCCAGCCATCCAGGTACTCAGAGGCCACTGTAGCCATGGTTCAAAGGGGCCCAGCTATTGCTCAAGCTGGCAAAAGACTTTAGCATCATCCTTGTGGTGTTGAAAAGGCATGTAGAATGCAAGAATTATAGGGCCATGCAGGCTTTCATTCAGATTTCATAAAATGGACCGGGAGGCCCAGCAGTGTGGCCCATGAGAGGGCAATGCATAAAGCTATGAGAATGAAGCAGAAGGTATAGTGGAGACCTCAGGAAGCTGGATGTATCAGGATGTGGACTGTCTGCTGGGGAAAGCTGCTGGCATTAAGTGCAGAGGGAGACAAAGAGTGCTGCAGTCAACAGGAGGCACAGCTGCCTGAGTCCTCTGGAGCTCACGTCTCACCACATTCTGCCCAGGGTGCTAGACCTGGAGCTATA